GTCTAGGAGAGTCCCAAGGGCCTGTACGTACACCCACACATCAGTTGTTCACTCTCCTTAATTATACAACTTACAGATGATATTCATAGGAGTAGCTGAATAATTTACAGTAATTACTGAATAGTAAGCCTTAAAGGGGAAATCCACCCATTTCTCAAAATTTCTGCATAATAAAACGCTTAGGATGTAACCAAAGTCTTTCAGAGTGGTTGGATATGAAGTGCAGAATTCTAGAGGATCTTGTTCACTGTGATGTTGATAGGAACCAGACATCTGAAGCATTTAAAGTCCCTAAAAGCCCCCTCACAGAAAGTTCATACATGAAATGGTACTAAATACACTGTCTGATACCGGAGACATTGTTTTAGGATAAATCTGAGAGAACATTTGGTCCTAAAACATATTTTACAATCCATTAATTCAGAGAGGTGCATGCAGGGTCACTGTCAGGAAAACAGTCCCCGATAAAAACTTATTTTTTCAGACTTACCACCATTTCAGCAAAATCAACATTACATATAAAAACTCAGAAGACACGTGTAGCATCACTGGTCATTTTGGATATTAACCTTTTCACCTCTTTGGGACCACCGGTGGTTCCAAAACGCACTTCGTCATATTCTTCATAACTTTCATATTTCATAAGCTACATTCTAAAGGTGGGGGTCGTATGAGAGCTGTAACTGTCTTCTTTCCAGTCAAATAGATGGGTGATGTCATTTTAAACCCTTATAATAAAAGAAGCTGAGCTAATCAGATGGCGTCTCTTCAGTGATCTGCTCTGTAAAAATTATTTTTATAAAATAATACAAAGGGAGTCTAAGATTTTTGGCTTTCAGCAGTAAATTGTAAGCATATAGCGATATGTGTGATCATAAAACACATGTTCTGTTAATTTGAGGGGAGCTTTTACAAAAAATAAATAGATAAAATAAAAATGTACATTTATTTCATGCAGTTACTGAATAATTTGCCTTATGATTTGGTCATATAAATTCAGATGGACAAACCAAAATATACCCTGGAGAGTAATTAAATAAAATGGCAATAATTGCTGATTCCTGTCACCAACACCACCTCTAAAAATGATTCAGTAAATTTCTCTACAATGAAGCATTTCACATTAAGGCCCCGTCCCATTTCACCCCTCGCCCCTACCACTCGCCCCTACCACTCAGCCCTACCCCTCCGTTTTTCACGTTCTAGTCTAGGGGTAGGGTGTCCTGATTCTTGTTGAGATAGAGATGTAGGGTGAAGTGTTGGGGCTACATGACCCTCCAAAGGGAGGTTTTTCAGAGACTCCAAACAGAGAGTTATGAGGAAAAAAGAAAAAAACGGCAAGATGACTGAACGAGAGACCAAAGAAACCCACAAATGTGAGAATTTTCTGTTAGAAAATTACCATAACCATAGTATTATGTTAGTTTAATGTCATTTCAGTGTATTTTGGTCCTTTTCTTCATAACAAGCATAAAAAGTTGCTAATAGTATGCTAATGTATCAGTAGCTAGCTAGCTAACTTTCCCGTTCCACCTTAAATAGTCCAGCAGTTCTGACGCCTGAAGCGCCAGAATGTAACAGCTGCACCATTTAAAGTGGAACGGGAAAATTCGAACAAGAAGCTGATGAATATCTGACTTCAGCTTCATATCACAGAAGAATTAGGGGTGGGTGATAATAAATAATTGCCCCCCTCTTTGAAGGCATATGATGCCCTAAATGTAACTAAAGCCCAGCAGTGAGGAGCTGAACTTTACCCTCCTCTGCTGTCACTGCAGACTGGCAGGGTCACCTACAGAGCAGCGCTAGTAGCTGTTAATGAAGTGATGCTCTTCTTTATTCGAGGATTGGTCCATTTCGTTAGGAGTTAAAGGAATCCTTCATCTAAAAGGGTAACTCTGTCAGTAATGAACAACCTGATCTCTCTGTACATCTGAGCTTCACAACCTTTAACTCATTATTAACACTAGGAGAGCTGAAGCAATTTGATCCCTTAAACCTTCCTCTATTATACAGTTACTGCATTGAAGGCCCCACTTACCAAAAGACCAACACCAGTGTAGCCAATATTTCTCCCTCTATGCACAAAACAAAAATCAGTGTATCATTGTAGAGGTTTAATTAGGACACTGAAGTCAGAAAAAACACAAATTACATATTTTCCTGGCATCTGGTTGGAGAAAAGCTAACACACTACACAAAGAGCAGATGAGCATCTGAAGCTCCGTCGAAGAAACACTCCATTAAAATAAAGCCAGAGGACAAAAAGGAAAGAAGTCCATTCTCAGTGTTACAGGTCGTCCAGCTTCTAAACATTTTCATTTGTCTATCTCTTTTCGTCTAACCTTCCATTGCATCCATACATCCATCCATTCATCCATCCTTCCATCCATCCATCCATCCATCCATCCATCAGTCCATCTGTCAGTCCATCCGTCAGTCCATCCCCTTACTGAACTCAGCAATGACTCTGAATCTCAAAATAATGTGTGCTGAAAAGGAGTAGCATAAATAAATCTTACAAAACAAACAAAAACAAGCAAACATCAACTACTGGAAATAATACTTACAGCCAAGATTTGGGAAACTATGGAAGTCCTAAAAGGCCATGAATTCACATATTTTATTCACTCTGTTTTCCTGTGATAAAGAGTTAATTTGTTTTATCAAGATCTCAAGTTATCATTATTACAAGATCAATAAATGTCGTCTTCCAAAGACAATATTAAAATAATAAAATGATGTTTCCTGATATTGAATTGATGCCCAGAGATGCAGAAGAACATCAGAATTTTAAAAGAAACAGTTCAACGGAAAATCAAATAACCCAGTTCAACTTACCCCAGATGTTGTCGATCAACCGAGGCATATTTAGAGTTCAACTATCGCTTCTTTAGGTTTAGAACTGGAGCTATGAGGCTAACGTTGCTAACAAACACTAGAGTTCAATAGTCACCCAAATAGCCCAAATACTTTCTATAAAAATACATCACCAAAACTTCTCTGAGCTCAAACCACATCCAGGTCTTCCGTCATACAGACTTGTTGAAGTGGTTTAGAGCTCAGTATGGCTTTTACTGTGAACTGTAACGATGAGCTAAACTTCACTGCTACCTAATTAACGCATCAGCAGGGCTGGAATTCATGAACCAAGATCAGGTTCCTCTGTGTTTATGATGACCACTGTCACAAATACTGAGTCTAGATCAGCAATCCTGACCCCGAGTTTGTGAGTACAGAACCTGTTGTTAGCCCACAGTATATGATTGAAAGTCAATATAATTTTTTTATAGTTCACAGTAAAACTGTGCTCTAAACAGGGGGTTCGCAACCTTTTCCACCTCAAGGTCCACTTATTTACCAAAAGAAAGCCTGAAAGCCCAAAGAGAACAAACAAACAGACAAAAAACAAATACTTTAGAACACAGCAGTTTTTTCAGGTGAATATATAAACAGATCAGGCATAACATTCTGACCACCACCTTGTTTCTATGCTCATTGTCCATTTTATCAGCTCCACTTACTATATAGGTGCACTTTGTAGTTCTACAGTTACAGACTGTAGTCCATCTGTTTCTCTGATACTTTGTTAGCCCCCTTTTACCCTGTTCTTCAGTGGTCAGGACCCCCGTGGACCCTCACAGAGCAGGTACTATTTGGGTGGTGGATCATTCTCAGCACTGCAGTAACACTGACATGGTGGTGGTGTGTTAGTGTGTGTTGTACTAGTATGAGTGGATCAGACACGGCAGTGCTGCTGGAGTTTTTAAACACCTCAGTGTCACTGCTGGACTGAGAATAGTCCACCAACCAAAAATATCCAGCCAACAGCGTCCCGTGACCACTGATGAAGGACTAGAGGATGACCAACACAAACTGTGCAGCAGCAGATGAGCTATCGTCTCTGACTTTACATCTACGAGGTGGACTGACAAGGTAGGAGTGTCTAATAGAGTGGACAGTGAGTGGACACAGTGTTTAAAAACTCCAGCAGCACTGCTGTGTCTGATCCACTCAGACCAGCACAACACACACTAACACACCACCACCAAGTCAGTGTTACTGCAGTGCTGAGAATGATCCACCACCCAAATAGTACCTGCTCTGTGAGGGTCCATGGGGGTTGTGACGGTACGGTATGCTGATGGTACAGCACCGATTTTATCTGTTGATAAATTCCTTCATTTCATCACAGACTGTGTTCCCACCAGCAGCCAGAGTTGGTTGGAAGTGGACCAAGACCTGCGTTTTTTGCCGGACCAGCTCAGCTGTCTGTTGCAGACCCAAATACAGGTGGAGTTTAGACAGATGTCAAAACAGAGCGAACTAAAGAAAAAGTCCGACCAAACAAGGCCGGTGTGAAGGCGCCCTGAGAAACCTCTCCATGTCTGGCCTGCTAAGTGTCTGCATCGTTCGCTTCCCGATACTTAATTATTAAGTTAAAGCGTTTCCACTTATTTTTCTGACTTAAAGTGACGTTACCAGCCCACTACGAACTACTACCTCCCCAGAGTTCAGGCCCGCGCACCACTACAGGGTGCTTCACGGCCCACAGGTTGAGAAACCCTGGTCTGAGCAACCTTAATGAAGACCTGGATGTGGTTTGAGTGAGATGAAAGAAAATTTGGTGGTATATTTTCACAGAAACTGTTCGTTCTATTTGGGTGACTATTGAGTTGTAGTGTTTGTTAGCAATGCTCTCTCCAGTTCTAAACTAAAGAAGTAAAATTTGGACCCAAACCTGTCCAACTGGTTAAATACTTCTGGGGTGGTAAATTACGGAAATTTTACTTTTCACAGAACCATTACTCTAACACGCCACACGCCTTCTAACAGAAAGATGTCCTGGATGATTATAATTACCAGAAGCCTATTTCTGTGTCATGTGCTTTACTCTAAATTGTGTATTGAATAAAGTGAATAAATTGAATAAAACTCTCAAATTATGTTATTTTGCAAAAAATAAACTATCCCATTATTGCAGGACAATAACACTTGTTATCACATGACGGTGATTATAAATAACTTGATATCTTGAGACGTTTCAATAAAATTTAAACTTATTATCAAGGCAAAACAGTAAATAAGATCAAATACGAAGCCATTGCCTTTTTAGGGCTTCTGCAGGGAACAGCAGTGAAACATTATCAGTAGAAAAATGCTTTTGTTCTCCTCAGACACAAATTTATGTACAGAACAGGTGACATGTAGGTACACAGTGCACAAACATACAGCGTATGTACACCACTGTGAGCGAGGGTCAGTTCGGCCGTTTGTTTGACCCACTGTCCTATTAGTCCATCTTGCAGTCTATGGGAGGAAAGGTTGGGGGCTATGGGGCCATGGTCAGTTCCTCTCTCTCTCTCTCTCTCTCTCTCGCTTTCTCTCTCTCTCTCAGATAGTGATAAAGGCTCCCTGGTCACTGTCGGCAGACTCCGGCTCCACGCAGCGTCCGCGCCTTCGGGTCACCCTTCGCTTGCGGTGGAATTTAGCGTAGCAGCGGAGACCTTCAGAAGTAAAAAAGAGGGGCTTTTACACTCATTTCCCTTCACATTCTTTCTAAAGTGAAAAGGCAGGGCTAAGGTTAAAGGGCAATTCCACCAATTTTTTTTTTTTTGTACAATTTGTTGTTGTTTATGGAGTTGCAACACAAATATAGCCATTTAATTTGCTATTCAAAATGACCAGTGCACCCCTACGTAATGTAATTTTGATAATAGTAAACTAGTAGCAAATCCAAAAAATACGTTTTCTCTTGGTACTATTTTGCCTTTCCCTTCCTGTATGTCCCTCTACACCATGAGTGGATAAAAAAAAAAAAAATTCAGGCCACAAACTACCATAAACAATATCTCAGCCATCGGGGAACATATCCGTAACCATTTTGTTTAATAGCTTTCTATGAGGGAGCTTTTAGAGGGATTAAACTCTTTATACGTCGGGTTTCTATCACCACCACTGTGAACCATTCTGACTGTGTAAGTTTCTCTAGAGCAGAGCATTTCATGTCAAATTCTGAATGGCTTTGTTAACATCTTAACTATCAAAGTGTGCAGAATTTTTGGAAAAATTGGTGGAATTCCCCTTTAAAGTGATAGTTTTGTGAACAATTAAATTCATACTTTTTCTCTTACCCCAAATAAAATCAAGCCAGGACAAGTTTTGTGTCTAAAATTTGCTTCTTTAGATTTAATATAATATAGCCAAAAGTAATGAAAGCAGGCCTGAATCGTCAAACACTCGCTTTAAACTGTGTCGAGATGTTAAGCCTATGGAACCGAGCGTCTCAACGGCAATCCATTCTAAGACACTGCCGAGAGTCCTTTTAACTCATTTGACTCATAAACTTATATCTCTTCTGCTACCAGAAGAGTTGCAGTGCCTGTATGTCCAGTATGTCTTGGCCGATCAACCAAATTTAGGGTCAGTTTTTTATTGTTTGATTTTTACCAAAATATTCAGCATCATTTGAACACAATACGACAGATTACCACCAAACGCAGCTAAAAACACTAAGAACCTAACAAGTTCTCTGTTCCTGGACAATGAAATGGCAATTTCTACAGTTCTTTATCTCTCAGCATTGAAGGAAACGAGTGTAACTGCCCACTTGTCTTCAATTAGAATAAATGAGAGCTGTTTGAAGGCGCTATAATCACAGAAGCCATTTCAGCTGTTGGTTTTTTTGCACTGGAGATGTAAACAGGAAGTGGTCCACCCACCCTCTTCACACATGCAGTCATCGTAGCACTTGTTGTTCAGGCCGCGGTTGTGGAGTTTGCATTCGTGCTGTCTGAGGTCGCAGCAGGACCCTGGTGGAGGAATATATAAGCATCATTATATAGTACTTTGCAAAAGTCAGAGACCATCATCTACTAATTTCCAGTCAAAATGGCTATTAAGTACAAATCATTCATTTTTAGTGTCAGAAAAAAAGCAGGACAGAAAACGACACAGACGCCTCAAAACCTGAATATATTATCAATTTATTTATTTTCGGGAGTCTTTTCAGGTTTTCAAAGAAAAAAATTCGACACTTGGGAGAACCCAAGCACTTTATTTTAATTCTTTATTTATGTAATAAAAACTCACAGAGTTAAAATCTATTTCAGTTGTACAATGACAAAATTGTCCTGTCCTGTCCTGTCCTGTCCTGTTCACTGACCAGTTTGTGGAGATACTGACCGGGGAGACAGTCAAGGTGATGGTCACATGGTTCAATGATGTCAGCATCAGTCGTGTTGCCGTTGCTCATATTCTTGCTGCGTCGCTTGTCTTTGCACAAAACAATAAACAAACAAATTAAACACTAGTGTTCAACATTTTGAAATCATCGTCAATGTTCTCAATAATATGAAACCAATTTGATTGCAGAAGCATGTGTAATACGACTAATATGCGACTACTCTACAAATTCACAGATTTCAAATAATTAGCTAAGAAAAAAGTTAAAATAAATAACTTTGGATGTGTTTAGAATAATAAACAGAGCTGAACAGAATAACAGAATTATTATAAATAAATACACAAAATGTCACAAAATTAAAAATGTGCTGATCAAAGCTTGAGGCAATTAACTTAGTATTGTAAACAGATAATTACAGTATATTATTTATTATTTATTGTATTATAACTTCTTGCTCTTCCCAAAATACTTACATAAAACATCTAAACAAACCTTTTGTCTAGTTTATAATATTGAAAGTGCAGTCCATGTTCTATTATTACAACAAATATTAACATGACAAGCAATTTTCAAGCAATTTGTACTTCACAAAAATTAAACAGTGTTGTTTGAGACTGTAAAACGGCTCTCTGTTAGATTCCTATTACAGCTTTAGCCTCATCTTTGCTCTCAGAAATCAATAATGGATATTATAAAAGATGAATGCGCGTCTCATTTTGCCCCTTTGAGTTCTGAAATTGCTTGTAATAATGAATTATTTATATTGATCTCTCTTATGGAAGGACTTGATGCAGGAGGGTGGATAAGTATCTGTGCCAGCGCTGTACCTTTTTTCTTACTGGATGGCCAGTTGTCCACAGGCTTCATGTCTTCATAGTCTGTCCAGTCGAAAAGAGCCATGTCCAAAGTAGGCAGCACCTCACCTTGAGCTTTTCCTCGACCTGCCCTCTATGCACACACACACACACACATACACACACACACACGCACAAATGTATAGGGTCACACTTTATTTTGATGGTGTGCTCTACACTGAGTTGCCATGTCACAGTGCAAACGTTTGAAGCTAAGACACAAGTTTGAAAAGTGAACATATCCTCTACAGTAAACACACTTAAATATGACTTTTCTATTTTACATTTTGCACTTTTGCACCTTTTTGTCCTTCTTACTGTGTTTTGGGGGTTTATTTTATTTTTATGTGTATTAAGATTAGAAGTGATTCACACATTGATGGATTTGCTGATGTGTCTGATTATGTTTCTCACGCTAAACTCGGTTTTTAACGTCAGGTGCAGACTGAATACTTTCCTGCTGGTCCGGACGGCTAATTAGCACGATCAGTTATTAAAGTAATAAAAGCTACCGAGAGCAGATCCGAGCAGCCTGGATTAATCTGTGTCTGAGGATTATAACTGAACAGATTTGGTGAAAATCAGTTGAGTAGTAAGGAAGTTGAGGCTGATTTAATCCTGAGACTCTTCGTCTCTCAATACAAGTGAATCTGTTCACAAGCGGATCTTGACCTCTCCATCATGGCGGATGTGCAGACGCATCACCTCAGATAGAGAACAACAGAGAACACAGCATCTAGATATGGATATCTATGGTGCCACCAGTCAAATGACATGTAGAGGATATGTTTGCTTATTTTCAATTAGAAAATCAACAAAACATGTCATTTGACCTGTGGCACCCAAACCTTCACATGCTACTGTATAAGGTAGGTCTTTCTGGTCACATACAGATGTACCTAATAGACATTATGAGAAAAGGATTTAGGTTTAGGACTACCAAGGTCTTAACTGTATATATGTAGAGTTCTTAAGATGATGAAATTTGAGGGCTGATATTTATTGTAGCATATCTATTGAATAAAAACATCTAGTGAGCAGCTTTTATTTTCCCAGTGTGATCAACAACACACTCTTGTAAATCCGATCAGAAAGTGTGCAGGAGTCACTGCCTTTAGGGCCTCACCACCTCCCTAGCCAGGCTGAGCTGCTATTGATATTTGCGTTCCACCAGAGGGGCTGTGTATGTCTGCTTTCTCGTAATAGTTCCCACGCTCACACACCTTCTGTGGAGCCTAGTCTGAAGCTCATACGTGACAGAGAAACAGAGATACTGAAAGACACTCACTGCTGTTTCTAAAGTCATGTATGTGTGCATATTTAGAGGACGTCAGTGCCTTTGCCAGGGGGATGAAGCTGGTGCAGAACATGAAGGACAGAAGGAGGAGAGGACACTTGTTCCCAAGGAGAAAAATACCCAAGCTTCAGAGCCAGAGAGGCAGGGAGGAGTGTAGGACTGAAGGGGTGTATATATATCTATCTATATATATATATATATAGAGAGAGAGAGAGAGAGAGAGTATAATAGTGTAAGACTGTGCGATGCGAGGCTCTCCTTATATCTTCAGCAACACTAAGCACTGCTAGGAAGAAGGGCCAGAGTCCCTGATCTGAAACTATTAGACAAGGCTGTGTGATCCTAAGGTGATGCCAAAAGTTTCAATAGTGTCGAGGGTACTGTGACCGAGTGCAGCATGACCATGGAAATGGGTGTAGAGTAACAATGGAAATAGCTGTAATTTAACCATGGAAATGAGTGTAGCACTGTAGCATACACATGGAAAAGGGTGTAGTAGTGTGGCCTAACCATGGAAATGTGTTTTGTGTCACCATAGAAAAAAAACATGGTGGCTGTAATGTCACCATGGAAATGAGTGTTGCAACACAGCAGTGGTGTGTAGCCCACTTTTGCTAATGTGTGTAGTGTAACCATGGAAATGAGTGTAGCACGACCATGGAAATGGGTGTAGAGTAACAATGGAAATAGCTCTAGTGTAACCATGGAAATGAGTGTAGCATGACCACGGAAATGGGTGTAGAGTAACAATGGAAATAGCTGTAGTGTAACCATGAAAATGAGTATGTTGTAACCATGGAAATAGCTGTAGTGTAACGATGAAAATGAGTATGTTGTAACCATGGAAATAGCTGTAGTGTAACCATGGAAATGAGTATGCTGTAACCATGGAAATAGCTGTAGTGTAACCATGGAAATGAGTGTAGCATGACCACGGAAATGGGTGTAGAGTAACAATGGAAATAGCTGTAGTGTAACCATGGAAATGAGTATGCTGTAACCATGGAAATAGCTGTAGTGTAACCATGGAAATGAGTATGCTGTAACCATGGAAATAGCTGTAGTGTAACCATGGAAATGAGTGTAGCATGACCACGGAAATGGGTGTAGAGTAACAATGGAAATAGCTGTAGTGTAACCATGGAAATGAGTATGCTGTAACCATGGAAATAGCTGTAGTGTAACCATGGAAATGAGTGTAGCATGACCACGGAAATGGGTGTAGAGTAACACTGGAAATAGCTCTAGTGTAACCATGGAAATGACAATTATCTGGCTGAGTTTGGCTGAATGCTTAAATAATTCATATGTTCATATATGAATTAAAATAACAGTGTATAATGGTATCAGTGACACAGTTCTACTTCAGATAGATCTTCATCTATTAGCCCATGTTGTAGTTCTTTTTCTGTCATTATGACAACTATGACATCAGGGGGTAAGAGTACAAGTAAACCTGCTCAACCTCACTATTTCCCCTCTAGTTCTGAAGGTGGTACGGGCTCAAAACTGGACTTTCAAAACTACACCTACACTGTGAGAACCAATGGCACTGTACAGGCACACTGAGGTATGAGCAATGTAAGTGTATCCTCTAAGGTACAGCAATGGTCTTAAGGTCCAATTGTGTACTTTAAATGAGTTTGCAGGCCTGTTACAGACACTCTCCCAGGGGAAAGAGGCATATTTACACCTCTTCATACGAATGTGCTAAAACAAAATAAGAAGTCAGGTTGTATGGAGTCAGTGTCCCTTAAAAATAGCTATAATTGAATATGGTACAAATATGTTCCCTAACTAAACGTATTGAAGACACAGCCTTAAGGCCACCACCTCAGCGACAGCCTAGTACCTTTTTTTCTGAGAGTATATGGGTGGTGCTCCTGCTTTGGTTTTAGTGGTGCACCCAAAACCACATAGACTATCATCATCATCTTCCCTTCAAATGGTAGCCACACATCAGCTCCAGCCCCAATTCTAGCATCAAATTCTAACCTGTTTATGGACCATTCAAGAACTTATTACCCAGCCTGTTCTCATATTTATCTATGATATTTATTCATCCTGCTTCAGTTGAACACAATCGGTAATCTATCAGAGCTTTGCTGGCAGTTTTTTAAAAGATTTCTACCACTAAGATCTCAGAGATCCTTACTTCGTTTGAAGAATCCCCTGTAAAAATCACCTGGACTTCTGTGATAAGTTTGTTTTTCTGGAATAACGGGAAGTGTTATATAAATAAATTGAACTTATGTATGTGTATGTGTTAGGTCTGCTACCCAAGCCCAGTTAGGCTGGACAAATACTGGGTTTTGGGGGGGATTTTTTATGTACAACATCAACCTCCAGTGGGGATTGGGTTTGCTTGCTAATGTGACTTTTCATGTAATAGATTTGCTTTTATTTAAATCAATTTTTTTATCCTAATCTAACTTTTTTAACTATCCTACTTTAATTTCTAATTAGATTTTTAATTTAACCATTTTCTGTTTTAAATGTATTGTTTTAATCATTATGTTTTTAATTTCTAGTCTCATTTACTTTACTTTTATTTGAACAACTCTGTATTTTCTCATTTGTAAAGCACTTTAAATGACAGCAGTGCTTTATAAATAAACTTGTCTTGACTATCTGCCTACACCGATCAGGCATAACAGTATGACCACCTCCTTGTTTCTACGCTCATTGTCCATTTTATCAGCTCCACTTACTATATAGGTGCACTTTGTAGTTCACTCCACTCGGACCAGCACAACACACACTGACACACCACCACCACGTCAGTGTTACTGCAGTGCTGAGAATGATCCACCACCCAAATAGTACCTGCTCTGTGAGGGTCCATGGGGGTCCTGACCACTGAAGAACAGGGTAAAAGGGGGCTAACAAAGTATCAGAGAAACAGATGGACTACAGTCTGTAACTGTAGAACTACAAAGTGCACCTATATAGTAAGTGGAGCTGATAAAATGGACAATGAGCGTAGAAACAAGGAGGTGGTCATAATGTTAGGCCTGATCGGTGTCTATCTAATGGTCTCGCCAACCACGGAAAAAAATAAACAAAAGAGCTTGTCATGTTAGTTCGGGTTGAGCCGGGTTCACATTTCAGTTTTAACAGTTCCAGTCAGGCTTGGTTGGGCAGGGTCTCAAAGTTGCTGGTATGAGTCAGTCTGAGGCCTCGATTTCATGCCTGTGTAGACCAGTAATGAGACAGTCTGAGTCTGAAAAACAACCGATGGTGTCTATGTGTGTTTAAAATGGAGGCAATTATGGGGCAATTATTGTACGCTGTGGACTACATTTAAACATCTGAGCCTGAAATATACATTTACACGGCCGACATTTACACAACCCCAGCCCAGCAGGCGACACTGCCTTCCAATATAAAACATAATTAGTTCACAGTTATCACAGCATCTCCAGATGCTGCTGGAAATGAATACATAGCTGTGATTGTAAAACATCAGACTCATCAGACGTGCCTTTACAGTACAATTGCCAATTTGTGTTCAAGCTAACTCCCATCAAGACCTTGTGTCCCTAAGAAATGTTCAGATAATGGAACAAACAAATGAGCTCCTACTGCGGCAGAAATATCCATTACCACGTCCTCCAACTCTCCAGCTCCGCTCGGCACAGAAGCATTCGTCAAAACCTCTGACAGTCCAGCCCAGTTAGATTAATTACAAAGGAACTGTGGTTCTGTGGCCTCTTAATCTAAGCCTTGCCGCTGATCGAAGCTTAATTAAGAGAGCCCGAGGTGAATCGAGTCATTGAGCTCAAATCTATACGAGCATATCAGCCCGAGCAGGGATTCGTCTTTGACCGTTTTAACTTTCAGGTGGGCCTGTATACAGAATACAAAACAGGCTGACCACTTGGCCACAGTGTTTTTAACTGATTTTAACCGCTACTGATACACAAACACACAGTTAGGTCCATAAAAAATTGGTTTGGACATTGACAGCAGCACATTGGAGTCTAAAGAAAATGCTCGAAGTGCAGCTTTAATTTGAGGGTATTTACATCCAAATTGAACGAACAGTGTAGGAATCACAACTGCTTTCATACAAAGTACGACATTTTTAGTTTTCAAAAGTCATCAGACAAACAAAATAATCATAAATGAAATTGATATTTTTAACACTTGAATGCAAATCTTTGCAGTCAATGACTGTCTAAAGTCTGGAACCCACAGACATCAGTTTTACCTTAAGTAGGCAAAAATCTGTGCACAATTGGACTGAGGTCAGGTGACTGACTTGGCCACTGCAGAACATTCTACTTTAAAAAAAAAGTCTTGTGTTGCTTTTGCAGTGATAATAATGCTGTATCCATTTCAAAATGTCAGCAGTCACATCATCCACAAATACAAAGGAATCAGTTGCACTGGCATTATAAAACGGATAGTGCATCACTTATCGAGTGTGGATGAGTCTGAACCCCAAATGACTGTTTCTTAGCTGTATTTTGCTCTGTTGAGCTGCAGGATCCAGTATTTAAACTCCTACATAGTGCACTATGTAGGGAGCAGGGAGCCATTTGAGATTCAGCCCCAGCGTGAGAAGAGGTGCGCCGCTGGATTGGTGCTAAATAAGATTGGTGATAATTTAGTGCCCAGAAAGTCCTTATAAAGCAAGTTTTTGCATTAAACAGTGCTGTGATATCATATGTTCATTGTTATACGACAAAAAGTTCAAAAAATGTAAAAAATATCGTCTCTGACTTTACCTCTACAAGGTGGACTGATAAGGTAGGAGTGTCTAATAGAGTGGACAGTGAGTGGACACAGTGTTTAAAAACTCCAGCAGCACTGCTGTGTCTGATCCACTCAGACCAGCACAACACACACTAACACACCACCACCACGTCAGTGTTACTGTAGTGCTAAGAATGATCCACCACCCAAATAGTACCTGCTCTGGGAGGGTCCACAGGGGTCCTGACCACTGAAGAACAGGGTAAAAGGGGGCTAACAAAGTATCAGAGAAACAGATGGACTACAGTCTGTAACTGTAGAACTACAAAGTGCACCTATATAGTAAGTGGAGCTGATAAAATGGACAATGAGCGCAGAAACAAGGAGGTGGTCATAATGTTATGCCTGATTGATCGGTGTGTATATATATACACATATATATATATATATATATATATATATATATATATATATATGCTACCAACTATCTGCAGTAACAACACTCCACATCACTTCAGTGTGAATAAGCAGAGCTAGACTACTGTAGACTGAACTGGCGGTCTCTGCAAATATGTTCATGCTTGTGACATCATGATGAATGGGCTGTCTCTACAGTGTAGTTACTATATGTAGATTGTATGGACGTTATAAAACTGTACATACAGCACTTTGTACTCTTAATTAAAACAACATTCTGTTGTCCATTATATGGGCTAGTGATTGCCTGTATAGGGACAGGGGGTGCATGTTTGAGCCAAAGGGTGAGGAAGAGAGCGAGAACAGATGGTTATGAGGAGGAATAAGGAGGAGGATGGGTATGCAACACCTCTCTCTCCATGTCGGTGCTGTTAAGCTCTTCCCCCCCTGCCTCCTTTCCAGCATGCACTGGGGAAGCTGGGTAATATGGCTTGTGTGATGAAAAGAGGGACATGATCCCAGCCCAGGCAGCGTACAGTAATAAATTAACAGAGGCGGAGCGGCACAGCTAAATAAATCTGCCCAGCCAAGTCCCTTAGCACCAGGATCTGTGTTTAGGAACGTTCTTTAGTGTTTAGAAGTTTTATATTTTTAAAAAACAATGAAATTTCTCAGTTTCATTTGATATGTTGTCTTTGTACTATTTTCAATGACATATTGGGTTTAAATGATTTCAATATCATTGCATTTTGTTTTTATTTACATTTTGCACAGCATCCCAACTTTTTTAGAAATGGGGTTGTATTTAATACATGATTCCAAACTTCTGACTGTATACTTCAGCTACAGTCAGGTCCATAAGTATTTGGGGTTTAACAAAAATATTGCGTTAACCGTTTAGGAATTATAGCCATTTTTCACATGGCCCCTCCACTTTCACAGGCAAGTAATTGGACATGAGCTGTTTCATGGCCAGCTGTGACCTGTTCCCTCATTATTTCATGACAAATTAAGGAGATAAAAGGTCTTGAGTTGATTCCAAGTGAACGTGCTTTTGAAAACTGTTCATGGGATCTGTCAATATGTGGTCCAAAGAGGTGTAGATGCAGGTGAAGGGGGGCTTCCTTAACGGAGAAACTATAGGAGCGGCCAAATCAACAATCCGGTACGTGTTTAATCAGTGGGAACGCACTGGTGAGCTCAGCAACACTAAAAGACCTGGAAGACCACAGAAGACAACTAAAGTGGATGATTGCAGAATTATTTCCGTGGTAAACAAAAAACACTTCACATTTAGTTAAGCCAAGGAGGTTGGCAATCAAGAGACACCTTCATGAATGTAAATAGAGGGGTTAACCTTAAAATGCAAACCACTGCTAAGACTCAAGAATAGAAAGGCCAGTTTAGACTTCTAAAAACCCTGCCCAGTTCTGGAACAAGATTCTTTGGACAGATGAAACCAAGACCAGCTTGTACCAGAATGATGGGTATGGAGAAGGACAGTAAAGGCTCGTGATCCGAAGAATAACACATCATCTGTCAAGCATGGTGGAGGTAGTGTTATGGCGTGTGCATGTATGTCTGCCAGTGGAACTGGGTCACTGGTGTTTATTGATGATGTGCCTGCAGACAGAAATAGCAGGATACATTGTGAAGTGTACAGAGCTATACTTTCTGCTCAGAGTCAGTCAAATGCTGCAAAACTGATAGGACAGCACTTCACAGTACAGATGGATAATAACCCAAAACATACCGCAAAAGCACAAACAAGCAGCAGCTGAAGGCCTTGCAAAGCATCTAAAGGGAGGAAACTCAGCAACTGGAGACGTCTATGGGTTCCAGACTTCAAGCAATCATGGACTGAAAATGTTTCGCATCCAAGTAATAAAAATAATCATTGTATTTATAATTGTTAGTTTGTCCAATTACTTTTGTGCCTGTGAAAATGGAGGGGCTATGTAAAAAATGGCTGTAATTCCTACGCAGTTATTGCAATATTTGATTAAAGCTAAAGTTTACACTTCAGTCACGACTGCTTAACAGGGTATATTTTGGTTTGTCCATTTGAATTTACAGGACCAAATCGTAAGGGAAATTATTCAGTAACTGCATGAAATAAATGTACATTTTTATTTTATTTATTCATTTATTTTTTGTAAAAGATCCCAGAAAATGTGTTTTACTCATATTGCTATATGCTTACAATTTACTGCTGAAAGCCAAAAATCTTAGACGCTCTTTGTATTATTTTATTAAAATAATGTTTACAGAGCAGATCACTGAAGAAACGCCATCTGTTTATAGTTTATAGCCCAGATTTGTGGAAAAATGGGTCGACTTTCAGTAGAAAAAAAAAAGTTTAGTTCAGCTTCTTTTATTATAAAGGTTTAAAATGACATCACCCATCTATTTGACTGGAAAGAAGACAGTTACAGCTCTCATACGACCCCCACCTTTAGAATGTAGCTTATGAAATATGAAAGTTATGAAGAATAATGACAAAGTGCGTTTTGGAACCACTGGTGGTGTCAAGGAGTTGAAAAGGTTCATTTCAAATCCACCGTGGTGATGTACAGAGGCAAAAATTGTGTAACTGTCCAAATACTTATGGACCTGACTGTATATTTTGCCACTAAAGTCATGACCTTTAAACAGTCCTTTATATGAGTCTATAAAGACCTTCTCTTCAAAAGATTCTTCAAGTGCAATGAGGTGGCTGGTATTTATTTCAACAGTATCATAAAAAAAAAAATCAATATTCTATTTACGACAGTTGAAAGTAAGGAGATATCATGCAGTTGTATCCTGTCAAACGCTTTGCATAGTAAAATATTGTCAGATTATAATAGGAATGGGGATGATAAAGAAAGCAGTCTCTCCAAACAGCAGCGATACTTTGTGAAGTCATTCTACGAATCGTTTAGAGACAAAGGAGTGAAAGAAAACTAAACCTCTTACAGCAAACAACTCAAACCAGGCAAATTACCTATTTTCCTTATTCTCTCTTCTGCAACACATTCACCATCTTCTCCGACTCTCTGTTCGGCAAATAATGCCACCATTCAGAAGCACACGTCATGCGGAAACCCAGGCCTCAGCAGAGCGTCAGTGAATGGGGATAAATCCCTCCAGAAGAACAACGTGCTATTGAACTGCACACTTTCAGAAGCACAATGGAGCTTCGTATTCAAGGACACGTCCGGCCGAGTGGTTACCTGGGGTTTGGTGGAGGCCGGGGGTAGAGTTGGGGGATGCTCACTCATCGCCGTGGCAACCGGGATGCGGGAAGCGGGGGAGGGGGCCTCGGAGGCCACAGACGCGTCGCGATTGGGCGAGAGCGTGTAGGGGCCGTCGTCCAGAGCATCGAAGTCCTTCATCAAAGACCCTAATTCCGCGTTAGGGTCAGGGAAGAACCCTGAGGGAGCGAGAGAGGAAGAAAGAGACGTCGTTTAATTTGTTGCTGTCATAACAAAACCTTGTTCAGCTGCACTTTAGAGACGATGTCATGAAGAATGGACCAAAAGAAACGGTCCGAAACGACTTAACGTAAAAGTTAAGAACACAACACCTGATGTACTTTTGAGTTAGGAGTGTTTTTTTCCTATAATTTCCTTTTTGGAGATTTGATAGAACGTATTTATTCTTTACACACAGCATCAAACTCAGGAAACTGCAAATTTCGTTTTACTTATGATAATAAAAGCGTTTATTCATTCATTCAGGGCGAGCAGTTAGAATAAACGTTGTTGATGCTGTTGTTGGGAACACTGCACACATGATTGGACTCCATAAATCAATTAATTAGACCTGTGAAGTGGACATGGCATTAATGGCTCATCTGACCTAGAAATGCCTCACACCTTTTGTCCTTCCACCCTTAGGACCTGCAGCTTGACCAAACATGCCAAAAATAAACTGAAGGTTGCAGATACCAATTAACATCACTAAAAAAGGGTTAATTGTTTTTAGCAACTAGAAATGTTCAAATCAGGTTTTTTGATCTCAATATGAGGCTTTTAGTATTGAGTATCTGTCAATACTGATCTCATATTTGTATTTCTGAAGATAATACAGCTGCCCAATGGGCACTTCAGGCACATTAAATTTAGTAAAACCAACCTAGTTTAGGACACATGTTGCTGTTGTGACAAAATCTCAATTTTTTTTTTTTTTAATGCAATTGGAAAACGCCAGCTGATCTTTTCACTGTGCAAAAATGATGAATAGAGCAACAGAAATGGTCATTCTATTAACTTGCATTTAACCCTCTATTGCATGAATTATTACTTAGACATGATAAAAATGTTTTGATGTGTTTTTGTAATTTAAAGTTGCTAAAATAATGGAAATATTTGAAAAAATAATATGCATATTTCTTTAGGGGGGGTAGTTGGTAAATTGTTGCCATATGGCAACAATGTGCAATCGTGGAAAGCACCACAGAATCTAAAAAAAAAAATAATAAAGCACCATAAAATCCATTTTTTCTCTAAAAACATCTTTTTATTGAAAAGAAGACTAAACAAATCTAACTTATACTATGAAATGTACGACCCAATATTTCCAAATATTGGAAATGAATACAATTTCAGTTGGTATTTGGAATGTATAGTAATATTAACACCAGATTTCCTGGTCATGTGATGTCCTAAAGTATTTGTCATTTCAAAGTAAAAGACCCTTTTTCCACAATTAAATAGCAAAACAGAGATTTTTTTTAAATGCCTTTTGGTAAAATTTAAATAAGGTAATTGTTGCCATATGGCAACACCATGCAAGAGAGGGTTAAATTCAAAAATGCCTTTTCTTCCTGTAAAGTTGCCACTTTGAAGAAGGTTTTTGTCTGGCAGCAACGATATACCAGCCTGCTCATTTTTAGTGCTACAGTAAAATCACTTATTTTTAGAATGAGACTGATATGTGTTGTTTTTGGACTGATTTTTGACATGACCTTCGCTATTAGTTGGGTATTTTGTGATAAACCACTTTCCATCAACGAACCATCAGTTCATTGTTCATTGCTACGTTTGTATAAGCTGCTCTAATGTGTGAAGTACTCATTTTCTTTATTTGAACGTGTTTTTACTGTTATCACTCTCATGTTATGTCATTTTATGTGCGCCTAGTTTAAAGAGGAATTTTTCAAAATGACTGCATATTCCAATTATTGAAATATACACAAAGTTATTCAGGCTGTTTTGATGCGAAATGATGCATTGAAGCACAACTTAGCGACCTGGATGTCTTTACAGTGGTGGTGACAGGAACCAGGGGTCGCAGAGTCAACAACGCAAATATAGACATTTTATTTACTATCTAAACCTGTCAGTGATCTTACATGTTTTCAGAGTTTTTACATGTAACGTTTGGAACTTCTTTGCTTCACAGCATCATGCATGTAATTCTCTGCCAAGAATGGATTTTAAAAAATATATTTTAAGCCCAAAAGCTGATCTCAAACAACACAACATAATGTCTCAAACCTCAGGCAGCATATTCACCACCATGTCATGTGATGACTTTATGTAAGGCAGCTTTTAGAGGCATTAAACTCTTCGGATGTCGGGTTCTCATCACCACCACTGTGAATAATTTTAATGGTAAGTTTCTCAAGAATATAACATTTAAGCAGTAGAACACTCGAGGAGCGTGTTATCGCGAAATAACATCACGGCCGTAGATCATCACAGCCGTGATGAATGGCTCTGTTGCCATTACAAACATTTAATTTTCCCATTTAACCGTATTTTGACGAATGCAGCTCGCACACTATGGACATTTAAACTGCCTTCTAGTGTCAGAAAATGTGCCTCCCTACAGCAGATCATGGATCATGTTTGTGTACATCGCCTTATAAATACATAAACAGAGTGCAGTGTGGTAAAATAGCCTTAAGAAAGGACCAGAATTTGTTTGTCCTTTCTTTAAATCGACATCTCAATCAATATTGGAGGTTAATCCATTCAGCCACCTTTCCCTCGGGTCTTGTCCCTGCGGCCGTGTCTCCGGTGATCAGGCTGGTGTCCGTGTCTTCTGCCTTTACGCGTGAACTCTCCTCCTGGAGGGTGATTGTCCCTCATGTGAGAGTGACCTCTGACTCCACCGTGACCTCTCTCCCGCTCCCCAGGTCCCATCTCCAACCTGACGGGGCTCAAGCCCTCCAGGCCCGGCCCGTCGTCCGGCTGCAGAGGCCTATGGGACAGCGCCCCCTGCCTCCTCCGGTGGCCTCCATGTGGCAGCGCAGCCTCACGGTCCTGCAGGACGTTTCTGTTGGCAGTAGAAGCCTGCCTCAGGCCCCGCTTGGTGTTCACCGGCAGGCTCTCGCTGCTTTGTGAGGGAGGGGTGAGGGTGGCAAGGAGGAGGGCAAAGGGTAAGCACCAGCTGGACTTCATTTTCACTTACAGCACCTCCTGTTGGTCAGAGAAAAACAGGGATGGGTCAGTAAATTGCCATCAGTCTGCTTGTAACAGCGCTGCATGAACAACAAACTGCAATCGAAATCTCTGGAGATCTAAACTATCCAAAATGACACTATGTCAGGAATATTACTCTCAGAAGGGGGGATAGGATTATATAACGGAGGGAACGCAGTGATCCACACTCATGTCTGTGTGATGTTTGTGTAGATATGGTCGTGTGGTTGGTGAAGCACAGAGAACCTGTTGATGTGATTGTTTCTCCTCTGGTTTTATATTAAGCTTATTTCATTTAATAGTCTATTCAGGGGGTCTTAACTTTATGTAGTAGTTATTTATTTACAGTGATGGTTAAAGCTTTGTAGTGGTAAATTATAGCATTCCTTAATCTGTGTAGATATTCATAATAGATTAACTTTAACCTTCTTACATGAAGATAAGGTTGGCTTCTTATTTGCCAGCTTCTTGTTTGAATTTTCCCATTCCACCTTAAATGGTGCAGCTTCAGGCACCAGAAAATAACTGCTGCTCCATTTAAGGTGGAGCGGGAAAACTCAAACAAGAAGCTGCGAATAGGAAGCCAACTTCAGCTTTGTCCTTCTTACTGTGTTTTGGGGGTTTATTTTATTTTTATGTGTATTAAGATTAGAAGTGATTCACTCATTGATGGATTTGCTGATGTGTCTGATTGTGTTTCTCACGCTAAACTCGGTTTTTAACGTCAGGCGCAGACTGAATACTTTCCTGCTGGTCCGGACGGCTAATTATCACGATCAGTTATTAAAGTAATAAAAGCTACCGAGAGCAGATCTGTGCAGCCTGGATTAATCTGTGTCTGATCTATGTCCAGATTTGGTGAAAATCGGTTGAGTAATAAGGAAGTTGTGGCTGATTTAATCCTGAGACTCTTCGTCTCTCAGTACAAGTGAATTTGTTCACAAGCGGATCTTGACCTCTCCAACATGGCGGACGCGCAGACGTATCACCTCAGATAGAGAACAACAGACAACGCGGCATCTTGATTTGTATATCTATAGTACTAACAGGCAGAGGTGTGGACTGGAGCCATATGACATGTACTCAAGTCTGACTCGAGTCACAAATTTGATGACTCGAGAAAATTGAGAAAGACGATTTAACTTTGACTTCATCACAAGTGACTCAGACTCTGACTTCAGCTTTTTGACTCAGAAAGACTCAAGATCCAAAGTGGAAGAAGCGTGGAGAGTCTGACTACAGATGGGACTCAACACAGTCGCTGACTCCTCCTGTGAAAAGATTTGTTTCCTGACGAATACAAGACAGAATACAAGTGAAGCTCTTAGAGTTTCGCCTCCATAAACTAGAATCAAGCAAAGCATCAACAGCATCAATGCCCCCTCGCTCAGCACTTAAACTCCAGTGTTACTAGAGAAACTCACCAGGCGAACTGACCGTTTTCTGTGCGCTGAAATACACACGGTAGGACAATACAGACTCTTTACAGCCCATTTTAAAAGAAAGTTTAAAGTTTAAAGTGGTATCCAGTACCAGAAATGGTATCAACGCATACTTAATCTGAGCAATTCACCACACAGTTCAGGTGATGCCTGTGAGGAACATGATAAACATTCTGGATATTATAACAGGGATTCGGTCTGATAGGGTTTGTCAAAGGCTTCAGCCAAGAGATAAATATACACATTCCTTTAGAAGCGCTGCTGCGATCCCTTCAAGTCCGCCCCACCAAAAAAATCCTGTACAAGCACAGCAGGATTCTTTCCTCAGGAGGGAAATCAAAGATGATGAGGGTCTCTCAACGCATCACACCATACAAATCAGTGACACGGGTCTGACTTTGAACATCAGGCATTCGCCAGTCTGCTCCTCAGTTGGTGCTGCCCTCCCTCACCCTGCCTTTTGTTCCCTAGAGTACATGAAAGCGATGCTCTTCACACTGTTCCCAAAAAGCAGGGTGTCTGAGAAATATCACAGAGACTAGGCCTTTATATGCGCCTTAAGACAGCCATGGAAAAGTAGGAACGAAGCAAAGTTCCAGTCACTTTCGGACACCGTGGTATTGTATCTGGCACAGTGACTCCCTCAGAGCAGCAGCGAAGAATATAACTGCTCACTTGCTGAAAAGCCCGCTGGGGTTGAAGGCAGGGAGGCACACGAAATGGGTGTTATTCAGAGAGCGACACCATTCTCCCCCCATTATTGCCTTTTAATTGGTATTGCAGAGCCGTCGTTCGCATTAGCCTCAGGTTATTCATAAGAGCCATTTTATTAAAGGCAAATTTAACGAGAAAAAGATTCCATTGACTCTGGTGGCACTAAGAGAAATTTGAAGTATGAGCGGTTGATGAGAGCGGTGTGTCACATTGCCCCATCGCACCTGGGAGGAGAAGGGAATATTAATGCGCCTCAGTCTTCGAATAAAAAAAAGTCCACTGCACAGTTTATTATACAGAGTTTAAAGGGAGGGTTTTGGTAAAAATCTATCAATAAACCTAAAAATCAATCAACAACAGCAAATGTAGATGTAGATGCACTGTTATCTATACTATTATCTATAGAAAAGAACAAAATACATAGCTAAAAATAGAAGGAGCAGCCATCTTGAAGCCTGAATTTATAGATATGTCTTGCACTGTTAGGAACCACATAGGCAAGTCTATTTGAGATTACTTAGCAAAATAATGTATGAGGTGAGATGAATTAGGCATGCAGTGTTTTCAGTGCTAGCGGTGTGAGGCGATCTTTGTAAAAAATTCCCTCTAACATTGCGCTGTTGTCGGGAGAAAACCTCATATCTCCAAAATGGTAACTTTACAGGAGAAGGAAAAAACATACTTTACTTCTAATGTAAGTCAATGGAACCAGACATTTTTCCAAGCCATTTTGGGACGTTTCTATTGGTCCATTCATCCTGAAAGTTTGACACAATGTAAAGGGCAACAGGCATTTTCAAATTATATAAAAACCTGAAAAACGACAAAAATGGAGATGGTTTTCTTCCGACAGCAGCGATAGGCTTCCTTTTATAATATTTAGGAATATTATAATGTATTATAATTATTATTCCTAAAAGACTTCCAGTAATATTTCTCTGGCATAAATTAAACTATTAAATTGAATTATTTCAACACAGGCAACTCTGAAGAAACATGCTCTAAAAACTAGGCTATGCTGCCTGGACACAGGCGATGTGATGTCACCTGTTGCTCTGCGTACGTTTAGCTGGTACACCGTAGCCATTAGGTCAGCTGTGTTTTGCCAGTTCAAGCCCAGTATGGGCGTGTGTCGTGCATTTTCTCAAATAAACAGCTTAATTTGGTTTACTGCAACTTCACCTCATTCATTCTTCAGCATTATCTTTACACTATGATGCTAGTGAAGTGAAAACAGTGATTGGTGGGGGAGTTAATGCGTTAACCCTTGTGTGGTGTTGGTGTGTTTGTTACTCAGTGGTCTGATGGACCCACCGCATTATTGTTTAAATCAATACAGTCATAACAATTTAGGTAAAAATACCAGATGTTTAAAATATCACAAGTGTCCAGCGTAGGGTTCTCCTTTAGCAGCTGTAGCCAGTCAGCAGTCTGTCCATGCTGTCCACCCTCACACACACACACACACACACACAAACACACACACACACACACTAACAGCAGGCCATGTAGGAGGAGAACAGAGTGAAGGACACAGCACCTCCACACTTTTACTCCCCGCAGGTTCACCCAACACCACATGTGTAATATAAATGTGTGGGGGGTGAACAGAGTGAAGACACTGAAAATGGGTTATTTTATATGTTCTTCACAGAAAATGAGCAAAGGACAAGAATCTGAGGCTGAAATAATAATAAATCACATCATTTTTTCTTTTGGTAAACTTTGAAAATGGGTCCCACAGACCCAACACCACACAAGGGTTAATAGAAAAAAGACTGGTTTTAGTAAATTATCCTACCTTCTATGTATAAAAGCGCCATGTGATTAATAGTTAATTACCATCCAACGAGCATCCACATAGTCTGATAAAATGAAAATAAAACCAAAATAGATAGCTGTTGTTTGGTATTAAGATCAGCAATGCCTGATTTAAATATCTCATTTTGTGTTTCTTCCATTTACACAGATCAGACATAACATCATGACCACCTCCTTGTTTCTACACTCATTGTCCATTTTATCAGCTCCACTTACTATATAGGTGCACTTTGTAGTTCTACAGTTACAGACTGTAGTCTTCAGTGGTCAGAACCCCCATGGACCCTCACAGAGTAGGTACTATTTGGGTGGTGGATCATTCTCAGCACTGCAGTAACACTGATGTGGTGGTGATGTGTTAGTGTGTGTTGCGCTGGTCTGAGTGGATCAGACACAGCAGTGCTGCTGGAGTTTTTAACCTCAGTGTCACTGCTGGACCGAGAAAAGTCCACCAACCAAAAATATCCAGCCAACAGCGTCCTGTGGGCAGCGTCCTGTGACCACTGATGAAGGATTAGAGGATGACCAACACAAACCGTGCAGCAGCAGATGAGCTATCGTCTCTGACTTTACATCTACAAGGTGGACTGACAAGGTAGGAGTGTCTAATAGAGTGGACAGTGAGTGGACACAGTGTTTAAAAACTCCAGCAGCAGTGCTGTATCTGATCCACTCGGACCACCACAACACACACTAACACACCACCACCACGTCAGTGTTACTGCAGTGCTGAGAATGATCCACCACCCCAATTAGTACCTGCTCTATGAGGGTCCATGGGGGTCCTGACCACTGAAGAACAGGGTAAAAGGGGGCTAACAAAGTATCAGAGAAACAGATGGACTACAGTCTGTAACCGTAGAACTACAAAGTGCACCTATATAGTAAGTGGAGCTGATAAAATGGACAATGAGTGTAGAAACAAGGAGGTGGTCATAACGTTACGCCTGATTGGTGTATGGTTAGCTTGTGAATGCTCCCTGAGCCAGTCATGCAGTGCAAAGGTGCTGAGGAGAACAT